TTGAAAAGAGGTGGAGAGAGAGAGAGAGAGAGAGAGAGAGAGAGAGAGAGAGAGAAAGAGAGGCTGCTGAGTGGAGGCGGTCAGGGTCGGCCCTGCGCTTTGCCTGGTTTCGGGATGTGTGTGTGCAGGAATGCATTCATTAGCGTAATTCCTCGGCTCTCACACAAGGCTTCCGTCACTGAGTGAGTGAGCGAGCGAGCGGAGGCCACCGGACTGGAGACTGGAGGGAGGGGGGGTCTCTGTCAGTAGGAGTCTTGAGGGGGTAAATACACCAAAACCACCCCCCCACCACACACACACACCACCACCCCCGTACCCAGGAGAACGAGGCGCCCTAACACAGGCCTCCTCGTCCAAGTCGATCTGCATGAGAAAGCTCCGAGTGCCACAAAAGGATGAAAAGGTTCTGGGCAGGACCTGGACAATCCCTTCCTGTTCTAGAGGGTCATTTGTTTCCGTGCCGTCAGGGCCCGGGCCACCTTCCCCCTAACCCTGCAGGCCCGTTTCACACATTCGTCCCTGCTTTTGTTTTTCCAGCACTTTCTAAAACACTTTTTAAGCTTTTTCTTTTTTTTCTCCACATTCACGTGAAAGCGAGCGACTGATGGGCCAATATGTGCAATCAAACAGGGGCTGGAGCCTTTTTTTGTGTTTTTTTTTTATTTATTTTTTTTTTGCAGCTCCATCTAAATGCCAGTCAGCGGCGGGCATGAGAACCACTTTGCATGACAAAAAGAACTGACAAAACAGTTAAGCCAATTAAAGTATTTATATTAATTCTAATGAAAGGATTTGAGCATTTGCGAATGATGTTTACTGTGCAGTGCCATCTGAATTAGCATAGCGGTGCAAATGGTCAATAATAGCAGTGATATATTTTTTTCCCCATTATTTATTTATTTACACCATCTGAAAACATAAGCTGCCCATTACACCATCAACATAATGCCCACCAAATCTTACATGAAAGGACTCTTTTTCCTTATTAAATGTTCCATTTAAGAGAAACAACATTGCAGCGACAATATCTTATTTCTCACATAGGCAAAATACCAACGTTAGGTCTTATTATGGCTGATTTGCATATTAAATGTTTACTTGTACCATGTGACGTGTATAAAAATAACCCTTCTGTTCCATCAGCCTGAGGATCAGGGTCTGTGACAGCGCAGCACCAGCAGGGCATGTTCACAGGGCTTTAGTCTCTATCTGCAGTGTTTAGCACCTCTCTGAGGAAGTACCCCATTGAGATAAAGGCCTTGTTTTCGCCGTGATTCATTCTGATGCACCCTGGCATTTACTCTATCACACTTTGTCTCTCTTTCTCACATTCACACAATATCACGGACATTCCCATGAAACTTGCCAAGAGGGTACAAATGCAGGGCCTGTCAGTGTTAGGCCCCTGCGATCAGGAGAGGGTGGTTAGAGGGGTTGAAGGTGTAGCTCGTTCAATAAAGCAATGACTCAAGTGGAAAATTAAAGTAGCCCTCCAATAAACAATTTTACTCAGAGCCAGAAGGTGAGGAAAAAGTATTACAGTAAAATGCCAGTTTGTTTTGATTGTGATTTTAGAATAGATTGGCTCAAATGATACATTGTGAGTTTTGCGCTGAGGCTGAGAGCTTGTACAATCTCAATAGAAAAGCAATGACCAATAGAATGGGATACTCTGGAGCTGCTGCACATGAGCCTGAGGTCACCATGTCTAATGCCAAGTGTCATCTAGAGGGGTATAAAGCCCCCAGTATTGGGCTGTGGAGCAAAGGAAGTGTGTTTTCTGGAATGATGGAGCCCCTATTATAGATGGATGGATGAGTTGGAGTGATCCAGAACTGATCATACAACATTTGTTATTTGTTTTCTTTTTGTTTTTCTATTTATAGTGTTTATATTAATTCCTCACCATTCCTATGTGTAATATAATCAATACTTTATGTGCAATATTCCATGTGCAATTCTGGTGAAATATCCTTACAGTGTAAATAGTTTTGTTTTTTTATTTATAATTGTGTATATTGTTATTTTTTTGTGAATACAGTTTATGTGACAGATAGGTTATTTTTTATCTTGTAGTTTTTATCTTTAGTATTATACGTATTGTCTATATAGTAATAAGTAACAAACTGTAACCGTGTTAAGCAATTATCGTATCTTATCTTAACATCAGAACCTGAGGATGCAATCAAATCCACACAGCAATGTTCCAACAAGCCATTCCAGAAGAGTAGAGGCAGCAAAGGAGGACGAACGCCCTATTGATACCCTTGATTTCAGAGGAAACACTGGATGAGCAGGTGTCCACAAACTGTTGGACATATAGTGTTGTTGAGCATAATATTTAATTCATTGAAAATGTTTGGATAAGTAAATATTATTCCACATTCAGGACATATAGCTGCACTAAAGAAATAAAATGTTGAATTTGCTTAAAAATTATATGGTGTGTTTCCACGCAACTGTGTTAAGTAGCTTTTAAGATGCTCAACTGAGTTAAATGTACTCATCAAATTCGAATAAATCAAGTCTAATTAACCAGACTGACCATTTTTATGTATTACTTCAAGTTGCAACTTAATATGGTTATGTTTCACTAATTAAAGTAGAAAAAGAACATAAAATTAATAGGTTTAAGTAAGTTTTACACCATTTCGTTATGACTGTGCTACTAAGCTGTTATAGAATTGCGCTCAGCAGTAGTAGTTACATGATAACTTGCACTTACAGCCAACAATAACGTGGCAGTTAAGCTTAGAGGGTGAATAAAGTAAAGTAAAATAAATATATGATGCTAAGAGACAATGGGAAAGATTTCTGAGTTTTATTCCACAGGATTGCATTGACCAAACAAACACTTCTGACATTGATTGAAACAGCACAATTAAATCGGTTTCACTGACATGCATTTGATAAGTGATATTATTAAGGGGACACTGGTTCAGAAAACCAACAACAGAGCAATTTCATTTTTTTGAGTGGTGTAGCTAAATGTGATGTAGCTTTGCTCATTACTGACCAACTCTGCATGCAGTTAACCCCCTAAAATCCCAGGATTATTACATACTAATGCATATTATTCAGTAACTACAGGGATGCCAATGCAAACTGGCTGAGCTATTCTGAGGTTATAGAAGTGTGTAATAAAACTCTGGGCCTGTCAATGGGCTCTGGCCATTTAAGGGGTCAAAGCACAATGCTGCCCAACACATATATGAACACGAACACGGACAAAGTTAATTTAGCAGAATATTAAGTGCAGGCTTTTTCACCCAAGACACAAAAAGAGATGTTATTAGAGATCACCGGCAATTTGCAAGTGCCGCTGAAGTGAATGTCTCTGAGGGCAGTCCCTTGGTAAATGCTTGTGATATCCATTTGCAGCTCAAAGTAACTCATTTTAAAAATCTGTGTGTGTACTGTATGTTTCTTGTGCATCTGTGTGTGTATTTAACTCTTTCTAAGGACTAAATGTCCCCATGATGAATGAAAGCATGAACACATTGACGTTATAGGGACATTTGACTGTTCATCATTATACTTTCGGTTCTTTGCGTTAAGGCTATTGAGTGTGTTTGGGGGGTGGGGGCAGGGTTAACTCTTTCTGAGGCCTAAATGTCCCCAGGATAAAGGATAACATGAACATTTTGATACTGTGGGAACATTTGGCTGCCCATTAGAAAAAGATGTTTCTTAAAACACAGTTTATTAACCCCTAAATGGTCAGGGCCCACTGGCTGGCCCAGAGTTTTATTACAAACTTCTATAACCTCAGAATAGCTCAGCCAGTTTGCACTGAAGTCCTTGTAGTTACTGAAAAATAAACCTTAGTATCTAATAAGAGTGGGATTTTAAGGGGTTAATAAAAGTAAGCAATCCAAAATATTAGCTTTTAGCTCCTGTTTACAATTAGAATAGGAAAAGTTCCCAGCATGAGTGAAAACATGAACATTTTGACATTGTGGGGACATTTGGCACTTTTCCTTTAGGACAAAATGCTTTTTATGCTTTTATTTGTAAAAATGTAGTTTAGAAAGTTAATAAAAGTGAAAAAGAGCCAAAATAGTTTTTGATCCTAAGGTTAAGGTTATAGTTGAGTGTGTTTCAGGTGGGATAACTATTTCTGAGGACTAAATGTCTCCAGGATAAATGAAAACATGAACATTTTGACATTGTGGGCACATTAGGCTGCTTACCACACCGTTAGAAATAAAGGTTCTGTGCAGGTACATTTTTCGTTCATCAAGGTACAAACAATGTAAATCAAAGGTATAACAGTGGTTTTAATGTCCAAATGTGCACCTTAAGTAAGTTTAAATAAGTACATATTTGTACCGTTTCATAATCTAATGTTTTAAAACAGAACAGTAAAATAAAAAGGCTGGAGACGAGACGGGGTGTGTGGAGTCAGTACAACTTAGAAAATATCATTTCAGTGGATTATGGTACAGTTATGCTCCCTGACTAAAGATACTGAGATGAACCCTTGAGGGTCCCACCCCAGTGACAAGAGGGGAACTGCCCCAGTGACAGTTTACTACCTTTTATTTCTGAGAGTGCATTATAAACAATCTTTTAAATACAATTAAATCGATTTTTTTAATCGTTTATTAATAAAATGAAAAGAGCAAAACGTCACCTTTTGGTTCTTGGTGTTAAGCTTACGATCTGGACAAGAGTAACTCTAACGTCCTCAGAATGGATGAAAACATAGAAAGCATGGACCTTTAGACGTTGCGGTCATGTGCTGACCATGTGGGTCAACTTCTGCGCAGCTTTTATTAGTAAACAATGAAAGACAATGTTTCACAGGTGCCAGTAAAGGAAATACACCACAAGGAGAGGAATAGGAGTGTGTGTGTGTGTGTGTGTGTGTGTGTGTGTGTGTGTGTGTGTGTGTGTGTGTGGTCACGTGACGCGCTCGCGAGCTCCGGCGAAGCGCTGCTGAGGTTCAGAGGAGCGGCAGCGTCAGAGAGAGAGAGCGAGCGAGAGAGAGAGAGAGAGAAAGAGAGAGAGAGAGAGAGAGAGAGAGAGGAAGGAAGGAGGGGACGGACGGACAGCTCCACAGTCAGGCACAGGCAGCCGTGAGGAACTCGGGGAGAGGGAGCCACACATACGCCGCCTCCCCAACAACAACAACAGCAACAACAGAGCCGAGCGGAGCGGAGGGAGAAGTGAAGGGCAAAATCTCACCGAACAGACAGCGGATCTGAGCGCGTCGCCGCGCCGGAGACTCACTCCGCCTCGCCGGACTCGCCTTGTGGCTGGAGTGAAGGGGGTTCCGACAAACTTGTGGAATTTACCGGGCGGACTGCAGACAGAGACCCGGGCTACCTCCGACTCCGGGACACTTACCTTATTTTTTTCTACGGTTTAATTTCATTTGTGCGTGAACTGCCCTGAGAAGAGCCGCCGGTGCGCGCGCGCCTGTGTGTGTGTGTGGTGTGTGTATGTGCGCGTGAGGAGAAACTGCAGCTTTGGCCGCTGACAGTCAGACAGCAGCGTTAGCAGCACCAGCTCTTCTTCTTCTGCTTCTTCTCCTCCTCCTCCTTCTTCCTGCGTTCAGCCAGAGACCCGACACTTGTTTCTCCTCATCGCTTCTCTCAGCATTTCCACTCCAGCGCGTTCGTCTCGCTGTGTTTTTACTGCTCTCCTTTCTAGCATTTGTGCGCTCCGGGGCCTCAGTTGTGATTTTTTTGGAATATGGTGGGGGAAATGGAAGCGAAGGAGAAGCCGAAGCCTAGCCCAGACTATCTCATGCAGCTCATGAACGACAAGAAACTGATGAGCAGTCTGCCCAACTTCTGTGGCATCTTCAACCACCTCGAACGGCTTCTGGACGAAGGTAAAAAAAGAGGAAAAACACTGTTTTGTTTCTGTCTGGAGTGGCAGTTTGGCTTGAAGGCGGCGTCTGTTTCTCTCTGGGTTTCAGGACACATTGTGTCTGTCAGGAGACACATTTGTTGCTTCTGTCGTCCGCAAACGCAGCTGGAAGTTACAGCGCCTTTATTCGCCACCTTTCTTACTCGAATTCCCCGTTCCACCTTAAGTGGCACAGGCGACAGAATGGACGCGCTGCGCCATTTAAGGTGGAACTGAAAATTCGAATGAGAAGCTGGCGAATAGGAAGCCAACTTCAGCCTCGTGCTCGCGACTCGGTTCACTCTTGCGCGTGTTTGTGCTTGTCTTGCTATCTTTGTGAGGACCATATGTCCTCACTGTAATAGGGCAGCATGACAGTTTCGGACATGAGGACATTTTGCTGGTCCTCACTTTTTACCACAAATTTATTTTATTTTTTGGGAAAAACTAAAGGAGCAGAAAGATTGCCTTTTGGGTTAGGGCCAAGGTTAGGATTAGGTTTAGTTGTAGGTGTAGTCTAACTTGACAGAAATCAGTAGAATTCACTGGACGTCCTCATAAGTAATGCAAGACAAACGCGTGTGTGTGTGTTGCAGACAGACGAACCTGTGGCGCAAGATGTCACTGAAAGCGTCTGGAGGGAGTAGAGAAAAATAAAACACCAAAAATGGTTTAAATCATGAGGCACACACTCTGCATTACAGTTTAATAGAAATTTGAGAGAGAAAATTAGCTTGGATTAGCCTGGGCGAGGACAGTTTTTGGCAACTTGAGCTTAATATGACTCCATCACTAATGTATTAGAGCTCAATCACTGTTAAAGGGGTATTCCACCGGTTTTCCGAAATTTCCACCTAATCAAGTGGTTAATATGTACGTGGTCTGATATGAAATATTTCGTTCTAGTGAAATTTACTGAGTCAGAATTGTTCGTATCAGTGGTGACTGGAACCAGACGTCTGAAGAGTTTGATGCCTTTAAAACCGGCGTCACAGAAAGCTATTACATAGTTATAAGTTGCTTTTTTTGCTTTACTTGTTTTACTATAGTTTTGAGAAGTATGTATATAGAAATGTATGTATTTTTATAATCGATTCTTGGTGGAGAGATATATGCAGGGAGCTGTAAGATAAGATAGTACCTAAAGAAAACTTTTTTGAGATTTAGAGCTGTTTTGCCATCCCAAACATTACATATAAAACCACTGGTGGTTTTGGATAGTAAATAAAATAGCTATATGTGTGTTACAGACATTGTGACCCCTGGTTCCTGTCACCAGTCTGTTAGTTTCTCTACAGTGAACCATTTCACATCAAACCACTCTGAATGACTGTTTACTTCTCAGTAAAATAAAAAATCAGTGTAATTCTCGTTTAGCTTTTCGAGTGGCGTTTAGTCCTCGTCCGTCTGCCTTGCCAATATGAGCACTGCTGATATGGAAATCGTGGGTTAATGCAAATATTCAGTAATTTTTCATGTACATCTGCTGATGCTGATACATAAACATTTATATACTGTAGAAATTAGGACTAAATCTGTCTGGATTAGCATTACAGCTGCAAATGGAGTAAAATGATTAAATGCAGACATTTTAGTGCAGTAGTCAAAATATTCTGCTCTTCCAGAAGGCACTAAATACGTCAAATATCCGTTTGAAATATTGCTCAAATCTAAGCATCTGTTAGATGCTTATATTTTTTACAAATATCTGCCAATGCGATCCCAACATCGTCGTGCATCTCTTGTTTTTCTTCCTAGTAGGAATTGTCTTCATGGTTATCATTATAAACCATAGTTTCCTGTGGAGCACCTTTAGATTCTATTAGAAAACTGCATCAGATGCATCTAGAATCAGTCACAGCTCATCTGTTTAACCATTAGGATCTTTTACATTGTGATATTAACCCATCACAAAAACACAAAACACAATTATAAAAGCATAAGGAACCAACAAAAAACCTTTAATGGCAAAAAATCAGCAAAAATAGTTAATCTGTGTTGCAACAGCAGTTCCCTTCTGGTCAAACTTTCGTCTATTTTTAAGTAGACTCCTTTTGAAATGTCTCTTTCTGCTTGTGTCAGAGTGGGTCTGCACGTTTTTTGTGCTGCCCTTAAACAGTTTGCTAAGGGCATGAACACAGCTGGGTGGTAGCCTGTCCTAAGACTCTGTATGATTTGGAGTGATCCATTGATTCTGCCCACAGCAAATCTCTGCCCGACTCCGACTGCATTTCATATTAATCCCTTTTGCAAACGTAGAAATGACTAATCAGAGGTGCAGTTTATTTATCTGGAATTGTATGATATAACATTTTGTGCGATAGGTGAATATCTCAGTCCAGTATGTGTTCCTGAGCTTGAGTTGGTGAAATGACTGGGGGAAGGAGAGCAGTGAGCCTCGCTGTGTGGAGAAGTGCGGGCAGATCCGCAGCGCTTTGCGGTTTCTGGAGCACCAGGGGGCTCTTTTCCTTTCTTTATGGGATACTTTTCTCCCTTCTCAACTTTACACGGCTCTAAATGGACTTTACACAAGCACACACACGCACAGACACACACACACACACACATACATACACACACACACACATATATATGTAAGCGTGGCCTTTCTTCTGATGATCTGCCTGTAAATGTTTCATTGAAAGTGCCTCTAAGGGGAATAAAATACGTAACAAAATGTAAAAAAATAAAATAAACATGCATGAGGATGACTGCTATAGCTCCAAAAGATTATCAGTTAGTATCAGTCACCTTAACAAGAGGCTGTGTTTATGCCTATTTATGATCCATCTGTAGGAGTTGGAGTTGTAGTCACTGTGTTGTCATACTGTTTTTTAGATCTCCAAAAAAAAACAACGTTATTTTCGTTCTTCATTCTTATGGCCTTATCATTCTGCAGTGGTCTTGAAGCCTATTCTTTTTTCCCATCTCAGTGAAAAGGTGAAAAGCTTAGTAATTATGAGAATGTATTTTCTTTCCAACACTAGGTCTCCTGAGAGGTGTGAGCCCAGTGAGTCAATAACTAAATCTGTGTTTTAAGTGGTAAAGCAGTTTAGCTCAGTTCAACTGAATTCACCATTGTGTCTTTCGCTCAGCGACAGAAAGTGTTTCTCTTGTCCAGCTGGGCTGCAAACGCTGACCATTGCGTAAGGCAGGCCATTTCTGATGCATGCTCACGAGTTGCTTTTCGCTCCCTGAATCATCTTTATCTTGCGTTGTGTGCAAAAAAAGTGCTGTTTATAGTATATTAAACATTAGTGTGACATGAGGTGGGAACTTCTCCGAGAACAACCTTTCTGCATCGTTTAAAGGGAAATTCTGCTGGTTATTTAAAAATTTTGCATAATTCAAATATTTAGACGTAAACAAAGTCATTCAGAGTGGTTTGATGTGAAATGGTTCATTGTAGACTGGTTCAATAGATTTTCTGTACAGTGGAGGTGATGGGACCCAGGGGTTAGGATGTCTACAATGCAAATACGGCTATTTTAATTATCTTAAACAACTAGTGAAGCTACACATCTTCTGAGCTTTTATATGTAATATATAATGCTTAAAGGGTAGTAAATATAAATAATAATTTTTTGGGTACAATTTTGCCTTACAGTGCCCTACATGCACATGTCTATTTCATAACTATTTCATTTAAGATACTGTGAGTGAGCTTTTAAACTCGTAAGGCATTAAACTCGTCAGACATCTGGTTCCTATCACCACCACTGTAAAAAATTTGGGGTTTTTACTTAAAAAAGTGCCCGGGCTGCCTTAAAATTTTGAGTTATGAGATGAACTTCAAATAATAATAAGACAGGGTATTAATTTACTATTCAAAATTTCTGATGGTTTTATAATTATGTTTTGTCTTTTCATGGTGGGTTAATATCACAATGTAAAAGATCCTAATGGTTTAACAGGTGATCTGTAACTGATTCTAGACGCATTTGGTCATTTTCTAATAGGATATAAAGGCGTTTTACAGGAATCTGTGGTCTATAATGCTAAGCATTAAGACAATTCCTATAAGGAAGCAAAACTAGGGATGCAATGATATTGGAATCATATTGGCAGATATTTAATTAAAAATATAAGCATGCTATTCAAAGTTCAGTTAAAAACAGTTAGTTTACTGTGTGTGAACGAAATGGATAACCAAGCATTTCACATCAAACCAATCTGAATGACTTTGTTTACATTTTAATAATTGAGTTATTCAGAAAATGTAAAATTTCATTGGAATTCCCCTTTAAATAGTGAAATGTTTTGTGGAAGACATCTCAACCCAGGAAGAAGCTTACCTAGTAGCCAAAAACAACCTGAGCAGGAGAAATTATCAGGCCAGAAACTGAGTATCTTATAGACCTGCAGTAGAGCTTCTCAGAACATCCAGTATCTATCAGCTTAGTAACCGTAGATGCTTTTTCTTCTCTTTTTAGATTTTGGTTTAAAATAAAATGCTAAAGCTCTAAAGTGAGCAGCGTGAACAACAGTAAAAGAGTCCCTGTGCTGAACAAACAGAACAGAATGAGATGAAACATGAAAAAGGAATTAGGAGTCAAATGTCAAAGACTAAAATGGAACTGGGCAAAAGTAGATTTCTTACAGATATACCTGAGTGTTAGTAAAAGTATTATCAGTTGAAAATCCTCAGAAAAGAACAAATCTGAAGCATGTCGGCTGTTGTGACAATCACATTTTGCATTGCTATCCTTCAGTGAACACTACAAGTGAAGGTGCAATAATCTATTCATGGAAATATAGCTAACCAAGATACAGTACAGCTTTTGTTGGAGTAGCACAGCTCCTGTTGGCTGAGCAGTGTGGAGGTGGAGTACAGTATACTGAAAGACCCTGTTAATATAGAGATGAAAGTCCGGCTCTTCTGTAGTCATCACACTTGAAGCGGATTCATGAGTCAGATGGATTTCCTATTTCACAACTGGTTTAAGGAAAGTTCGAGTGATGTGGTCATGCAGAGGCCGGCCA